CAATACTTATCTTTAGACCTTCTTATCGGATTTGACTTTAACTTAGGGGGCCACTTCAAGGTGTGGTCGTCTTGGAGCTGCATAAGGATTTGACTAATAGGAGCATTCAAGGGAGTGAAGTTGGTGTAGCTATCTCATCCTCTAGGGACTCTCGGGGACCTATCAGGCTTCCTGAACTTGGAATCTCTTTCGTCTTTTGAGACAGGGGTTGACCTCTTCTTATCTCCTTTTTTGTCGTCTTTGCCCTTCTTGGAATTCATAGCATCTTCAGCATTCATATGTTTCTGGGCCTTAATGAATAATTCTGTCATAGTGTTTGGTGGGTCCTTGGACAAAGAGAAAAGGAATTTGGAAGATTGTAGTCCTCCCATGAAGGCTGTAAGAGCAACCTTATCATCCACCTCATCGACTTGTAACATCTCTGTATTAAATCGACCAATATAATCACGCAACGCCTCCTCTTTCTCTTGCTTAACATTCAGCAAATAGGTAGTCAATTTTTGGGGTCGTCTTCCTGCAATGAAATGCCCTATGAACTGCTTACTGAGTTCTTTAAAATTGCTAATAGATCCCGGCTTCAATTTATTAAACCAAACACAGGCTGATCCTTTGAGGGGGTAGGGAATGCCCTGCACATGATCTCATCTGGGACTGCTTGTAAGTTTAGTGACTTGAAAGTTTCCAGGTGATCGAGGGGGTCACAAGTTTCGTCGAAACTCTCGAGATGGGGCATCTTAAACTTCTTTGGCAATGGGAGAGCCATCACTCGAGGATTGAAATGTAGATTCGTCTTTTAAACAAGGTCATCAACTGTGGCAGGACCTTTTCCTTTCAAGGTTTGGGCCATCCCTTCTACTTGCAATTTGAGATCCTGGATCTGCTGATCAACGTGGGTAGCTTCAGTGTGTTCTCCAGCATCGGAGACATCTTTTCGGCGACAAGGTGTCTGTGCACCAGAAATATTTTGTCTTAGAGAACGAGACGTGGAAGCACAACGGTTTCTTCGTTGACCTCCCGCATGGTTGTGCCCAACTCTGTCATCATCATCGTCACCCTCCACGACGGGTGCTGCAGGGATAGCTAAGTGTCGCATGATTGCTGCATTTTGCTGGACCAGTTGGTTCATACCTTGACTAATGTTCTGAACATACTGTTCCAATGCTGCAACACGCTCCCCGTCTTCTGGAGCATGCCTTGACACGCTCTCATGATGGGATGCGTGCTCAGAATTTTCTCCCCTTAGGCAAGGCTGGTCATCGGGTTGGTTGTTGTCATGGTGTAATTGACGATCACTATCATGATACGACTGGTTCACACCATGCTCATGATGGTGACTGTCATCACCATATGATTGATTTCCGCCATCAGGTTGATGGTGGCTGTTATCATGTGATTGGTCTTGGTGGCTTGCTCCATCAAGACGCGAGGGGTGTTGACTTCCTTTTCCAAGATGGACTCCGGATCGCAGCATCATTATTATTCTAGGAAACTAGTATCGTTTCCTACAGACGGCGCCAACTGATGATGTGGGATTCCATGGTGACCGTACTTAAAAAAGGAAGAGAAAGATGATCGAGTACCGGAGTGGTACCGACCTAAGAGCCTCCGACGATTAAGTCGATGCTAGATCAAGAGGGTGGAAAGAAAGTTAAAAGACTCTCTTAGGGATTGTGTCGTACCTTTTGTGTTAGCCCGAAAAGCCCTCTTTATAGAGGTGTCAAGTTGTATTGAACGGGGAGTATTATTCCTCGTATTTTTCCAACACAGAAGGGGGAGCGTATTCTTATCTTTATCCAAGATAATGGGGTTTATCCTGATTTACAGTTTTGTGTGACGGTCAAACTTCTTTGGTGAAGACTCCTCATCAAATTATATTATTCTTCACCGTCTATTACAAAAATTTCAAAGAGATATTAGAAAGAGAAATACAATAAAAAAAAAAAAAAAGAAAGAAAGGAGAGAGGGGAGATGGGAGAGAAAGAGATGGGGGTGGCCTATTTGGACAAGTAATTCCTGCAAAGTAATCAGTCAAATAGTTCCGTTGAAATATCATTTTCCTTGTGGTATTGACATGGTACATATAGGGAAAGCAGCTAAATACTTGGTTTTTACGTCATCATCATCTGTATGCGTGTCCATGAGAGAGGAATGTATTTGATTTGAGTTCGGGATTTACGGGCGAATAACAGACCAGAGGTGCTGTTGTTGCCAGAAGTTGGAGAAGGTACGACTGGAGATTAGAGAGAACCATGTTTTCGAATGACGGATTTCAGCGGCACAAGCAGAAGGATCTCCATGACCAGGTCCTGGTTACCGCCGATTATTTCAACAGCGGCGGAGGACGAGATTTGGGCCGACCATCTCTTTGCATTCCGGCGCGCCATTAATCAACTTCTTCTCCTCTCTCTCTCTACTGGTTGGTTGAATCCTGTAGATTTGGATTTGAAAATTAACAAATTCTCATAAACACTAAGTTTAGGCAAATCTAGGACGATATTTAGCACAAAGGAGATCTGATCAGAACACAAGGGAAACGGCGAGACAGCTAGAAAGTTGCGTCCGATGATCGGAAAGTTGTGGAGAAACAGAGACACGGCCGGCGAAGATGATAGGAATAGACAATCTGAAAGTATAAAAACCGGCACCGACAGATCTGTTCAGAACACAAGGGCATCGGCGAGACAGGTAGAAATTCATCTACAGCGCCTCATGTATGTAAATAGGAACCAGTAGATGTAGACCTTAGGTTCCTTTGCATTTTTGTTGGACAAGAAGGACCGACCAAGTTCAGAACTTTCATCTCCTTGCAGGGGTAATATGCTTCTCCATTCCCGGACGTCCCAAATATATATATATAGACGGATGTGTTGAAACAAGGTAGCCAAACAGTTCATTTGATCGACGAGGATGCCAAAATATTAGTTTTTCAAACTTTAGCTTGTGCACAAATATAGCAGGCCTTTCCTAAATCCATGTGAATATTCGATTCGATTTGGGCCTTATGTAAAGAAATCCTTTCGATGGATGCTTTAGGCGGCTAGGTTAGTTCTTTATAAATGCTCCTGCCCCGCTTTGGTAATAATGAAAGGGTAAAATAGTCACTTTAAAAATATTTTTTAATTTTTAATTAATATTAAATAATAAGATTAAATTTATCATTTCACAGTCTAATTAACAAATCAGTTACGGGTTTGAGGATAAAATGATGAATTTTGTTAGTTTAGGGGAATGTTTAATTTTAGTGGATTTTTTTTTAATGAAATTGATAGTATAGAAGAGTTATGTAATTTTTTTCCATATTTATTTAACCTCTTCTGTTTTATTTATTTTTAATCTATATATAAATTATTTGTATGGTTCATGTTATAAAAATAATCCTAAAGTTTCTGTTTTACTTCATCAAATGTTGTTTGAATTTAAGTTTGTATTGACTATGCATATGTATTTCATTGTGATTAATAAAAATATATCAAAATTTTCTCAACATTTATGATAACTAATTTTTTTTATGATTGTCGGTGAATTTGATTTGAATTTCTTATCTTTACCACTAAAAGATAGATTACTAAAAAAAAAAAAAATTAACTCTTTATAGCCAAAACAATATAGTGCTTTATATAGAATAATTCATTAACACCATGAGGGCTTTTTATCTTTTTTTATTATTATTTTTTATTTTTACATTAAATGTACCTGCTATCTAAAACTTTTTTGACTAAAAGTTTTATCTAAAATTCTATTGCAACTTTCAGACCATCATAATTTTGATATTATAATAACAAAAATGTCCCTTAAAATTAAATTTGGAATATGCAAAGGACTTCAATACCCTTGGACGAAAATATTTCATTTTTTAGAATTGTTTTTCAATGATAAGATCAAAATTAATACAAATAACTCATTCAATATAGTGTTGTTAAAAACTATTTGTGAAAAAAAAAAAAAAAAAAAACATTTAAATAGATTACATTTGTAAAAGGACAAAAATAAAAATAAAAATAAAATAAATAATAATAATAATAATAATAGAAGTGTCTCTAGGAAATTGAAAATACCTTGGAACAGTTTTCCATTTTTTTTTAAAATTAAAAAAAAAAAAAAAAAAAAAAAAAAAAAAAAAAAACCTTAAAATGAAAGCATTTTAAAGAAAACCTAAATTTTGTTAAATTTATGTTAAAGGGTATTTTCATCATTATAACATCACTTTAATAGTGTGTAATTCTTTTTTCTAATTTTTATTTTTTGGAAATTAAAAAGGAACATAAAATGAAAATCATTTTACAGAAAACCTAAATTTTATTAAATTTCTATTAAGTTATAACATCACATTAATGATGCGTAATTTCAAATCTCTTTTTTGAAAATTAAAAAGAAAAAGAAACCTAAAATAAAAAATCATTTTAAAGAAAACCTAAATTTTCTTAAATTCTATAAAGGGGGTTTTTGTTCAAAAAATCTAATAGTCCAAGGCAGTTAATGCAATTTGCACTTTCGTAAATTTCAACAGGCATTTTCCTCATTAAAATATTACTTCAATTTTTCAAAGATCTGATTGTCTCAATCTATTATTTTAATTGGAGAGCGAAGTAAATAAAAAAAATATGGACAAATCTAGTGTAAATCTATTTTCCATTCCATCCTTTTAAACGTTTGACTGCCAACCTAGAAAAATAAACTGATACAAAGCAATAACCTCAGAAAAGCTCAAGTCGAGTGGAGCGTAACCTTAACTTAGAAAAATAAGCTTTGTCAGGCTTATTAGGTCAAACTCTAATTTTTTATTATTTTTTTATTTTTTTATTTCGACAAACTATGAGGAGGGGGGCCTCGAACACGAACATGTTCGGAGAGCTAGGCGCTCTACCAAATGCCGCCCAGGTCAAACTCTGGTTTGGACCGAAGGCTTTTGAGTCAATCCCTGAACCTGTTGGAGTTGCACTCTTAAAATAGTTGCTAAATCCTTGGGTGAGACCGTCAATAAACCATCAATGCCAAAAATGTAGACCTAACACTCCGGAAATTAAATCTATACTAGTTCTTAGATTACATGTAATATGCATTTTGTATGGTAATTCATTCAATGTCCTTTCTCATGCATAACTGAAAAAATGACACCCCCTAACATTGACAGCATCTAACTCATTGCTCTCTTACATAATTTACATTTACATAGATTAATAACATACACACATATATACTCGGAAAAGGAATTAGCAAAAATTTCCTAAAAGCTAGGGTGATTCTAACCTTGCACGGGACGTTTCCCATGAGGGTCGAATCTGCGGTTTGTACGAGCTGATGTACTTGCAATTGCAGTTATGGATCTTGAGTTCGTAAGACCTGATGTGCTAGCAGTTGCAGTTGCAGTTGCAGTTGCAGAGTCGGTGTTGGTGGTGGAACCAAATGTATGGGAACTGGAGTCCCCTGAAGTTCGGGCAGTGGAAGATGAGGAATTGGGGCGGCGAGACCTTCTATATCTGGAACCAGGGCGTCCAGGTCTAATTGGTTCTTCGAGTGTGCCAAGCTCCTTCGATAGACTTACCACCACACGACGCATGGTGGGCCGCAAATGTGGATCAGCTTGTGTGCACAGCAACCCTATCTGTATACACTTTGCTACCTGATCAGGAACTGCTGATGGTACCAATGCAGGGTCCATGACCTCCAAGCTGTTGCCTTCCTTGTACAACTTAAATGCCTGCATAACAGTCAACAGAAAAATCTGGGTTAACCATAAGTCCATAACAACCAGGTAGGCACCGGAGTACGGTCCATATGACATTTATTACAATCATTGTTTCTGAATCAGCTGCCTTTAATTTTGGATTGCACAAATAAAAAAGTCAAAAAACACCAAGAAATTTAATGAGAAAAAAAGTAAAATTAAAAACTCAACTTCTTAGAACTTGTGTATTTCCTTATTCCCTTTTAATTCGATTCTACTCAGTATCATACTAATTCAAGTCAAATTCAAAGAAAAATGCATTGGCGTCGAGATGAAAGGAAGAAGTAGTCTATATTCATATTCTACTTCCCCCTTTCCATTTTCTTCTTTCCATAAAAGACAAGGATAGGGGAATTGTCAATTCAAAGTTGTTAACCTGTAAGCCAACTTCAACAGTTTCTCACTCGGAAAAGATTATTGCAACGAAGTTTCTAACCCAGAAACTTCAGCCTTTTTAGAAAATGTCCAACATTAAGAAATGCATCCATCAATATAATAAAATTCTTACCCATTCCGGTAGATTCTGGGAATCTAGACTTGGGTTGAAAGCTGAGTTCTTTTGACCACTGATTAGCTCCAGAACCAGAACCCCAAAGCTGAATACATCTGCCTTCACAGATAGATGTCCATGCATGACATACTCGGGCGCCATATACGCACTGTTTTCAAGTTAAAAAATCTATTAGATACCTTACCAAAAAGTTCAGAGAGCTGGACTTGATGAAATGATATACCCAATTCAGTGGCTACCATAAAAAAAGGTAAATAATAATAATAATAATAAAGGAAAAAATAAAAATAAAAATAAAGAAAAGAAACAAGAAACAAGAAACAAGAAGACCAAGGAAAGGGTCCTCAATGACTTACTTGGTACCAGCTACGCGGGTATTGACGTGAGTTTGATCTTCAGGGAAGAGGCGGGCCATGCCAAAATCAGCAATCTTTGGGGCCCATTTATCGTCAAGCAGGATGTTGCTAGCCTTGATATCACGATGGATAATGCGATAGTGAGAGTCTTCGTGAAGGTAGAGCAAGCCTCGAGCAACACCCGCAATTATATCATACCTTCGCTTCCAATCAAGGGCATCTTTTCTACCAGAATCTAATCAAGACCATTTCGATCAGCATCACTATCACTCTATATTAACCCTATTTGTCTGTTCTACTCAAATTAATAAAGCTAATTAATATGAAACTAACCATACAACATGTTTCTAATTTTACTAAGCTTGATGATAGTTTCTGTGTTGAAAATGACAACTTGTCAGAAAATGGCAACTTGTCAGCACAATTATGTTTTTGAATTGGTCAAGAGACTAAAATTCAGCACATTAGATTGATTATGACATGTTGTACAGTAAGAAGGTCAAGGTAATTCTAAACAATAATGTCAATATGGGATGGTGAGCATTGGTCCTGCCATGTGATCAAATATCATCAGAAATAGGATTCCAACTCTGTGCCACCAGTTTCATGCTTCTAAATATGACTGAAGCTGGAGATAATATCAGTGAGACTGACTGTCTCAAAAACAAAATGAAATATACTTAATCTAACTAGCCTCTTAGACTGATGGAACCAATAAATCTCTCATTTTGGTTGCTTGTCACTGCCCTGTGGTTACCGAACAGTGATTTTGTCGTGGATTGAGGAGGTTATGGTGGATTGCTGTGGAGATTTTTCATCTAGGGTTTTTCGGTGTCATAGCATTTTGGTGCACTCCATTAATTGATATATACAACTCTAATTCATAAATTGATATGAATCGTATGGACGGTGATTCCTAGAGAGAGAGATTAGTTAGGGTTTGTTTGAAAGGATTTGCTTCGGTAGAGTTAGGGTATATTCGTTAAAATGGAGGTGGGAGGGGTTGGGGTTTAAATCGGGTAAAAAAAAACCCAATTTAAATGGGTATGCTTGTAACGCGTAATAAATACAATATTGTCATTATGAAAATATGGCTGCATCACTTGACAAGCATGCGATTCTTTACCATTAAAAGTTCAACAGAACCTTAACGGCATTGGTGTTTTGTAAAAATGGAATAGTTTAGTGGGTTAATTCTCTAAATTGTAGTTCAATGGGGTTTCTTGAGAGAGAGAGAACAGTTCAGGGAAGTTTTATGCAATTAACCCTTTTTTTACACAATCTACAATACTTTAATGCGCACATGGTGATATATATTAGCTATTCGTGAAAGCCAATTGAATTTTATGCCTCCATTAGAAATTTAACAAGCAAAGCTCGGCAGCTGGATCTTATTTGCATTATCCTTCTTAATATTTAACACAAATACACAAACAATGCATGCCCACAAAACCTAAAATGCTCGTTGTTGAATTTACACCAAAGAGAATATTATTTTCATTTTAGCCATCATTCTTCATGGCTTGAAATTTCAGTAATTTTGTGAAAAAAAAAAAAAAAAAAAAGTTAGATTGATTAAGTTCAGCATGGCCAAGTGCTAACTCAATCAAATAAAAGGTCATGTGAAATTATGAGCACAAACTCCTTTCTGTTTAACATAATTTACAATTATTATAAAATTTGAGTTAATATAACACACATCTATAGTCACATAAGTAGCCAATAATGCAATCATCCTCGTTTGAACTTAGGACCTAACCAAGATGTAAAACTCAAATATAATTCCTTAATTTAACGTTTCTTCCCTATCCCACTTTGCTTTTCTCTCTCTTTTTTCTTTCAATGAACTTATTTGAGACAATAATAGAACGTTGAAAAAGATTAAAGCAGAAGAGAACTTGCCGAAGAGAAGCTTGTCAAGGCTCTCATTTGCTACATACTCGTACACAAGTAGCTTCTCAGCACCATGTGTGCAGTATCCCAATAATGTTACAACATAGCGGTGCTGCACACGAGCAAGAAGCTTCGCCTCATTTGTGAACTCTTTCTTCCCCTGATTCGAGTTCTGCGACAATTTCTTGACCGCAATCTCTCTCCCATCCTCCAACTTTCCCTACATGTTCAAACACCTAACAATTATATATGTTTTTGCAGCAGCAGCAGCAACAACAACAAACAAAGCCTTTTTCGCAGCTATTTGGGGTCGGCTACATGAATCCTATTCTTCCATTCCGCTCTATCTAAGACCATAGCCTAAGTCGAACCGTGTTAACTTTGGTCCTCCCCTTCTCCTAGCATTATCCTCAATGTGGACAATTATACAAGTGTTTGTGCATATATGAAAATGTATAAGTATATGAATGTATGCATATAAGTTTTCAATGACTATGATTGAGCCAATTTATAAATGACTAGCAATTACCTTGTATACAGGACCAAACCCGCCTTCCCCAAGCTTGTGATTAGAGTGGAAATCTTTGGTTGCAGAAACTAGGGTTTCAAAAGGGAATAACTTCTGTTCTTTTGCCGCGATCTTTTCCAAGTTTTCTTCGTCTCGTTCTTCTGATTAATCAAATGACAGAGCAAAGAAACAAGAGTGAATATAATAGTAATTAACAGTATAAATATGCACAAACACATCTATATATCACATATGTGGGTATGTGTATGTATATATATATATATATATATATATATATATACCTTTCTTGGAGTTGAATTTGAAGGGTTTGATGAGACTTTGGACGAAATTACTATACTTGGACATGGCTGCCCATGAAGAGAGTGGACTGGTGTGATCAAAATTTGGGATTTTGAACACTATTTGGATCTGAAAATTGGGGGAAAAGATTGAGAGGAAAGTGAAAACTAAAATGGTGGTTTGTAATTTTCTGAGAATACGGGTTTGTGACGATGGTTTTGAGATTTTTGTTTGTGTGTATCAACAGACCGATATTTGGCTATAACGTGTTTGTTGAGGAAAGTGAAAACTAAATTGGTGGTTTGTAATTTTCTGAGAATACGGGTTTGTGTCAACAGACCGTTATTTGGCTATAACGTGTTTGTTCACTATAGACTGACTTTTGAGAGGAAGAGTCTTATGATTGGTGGAAGACCTTTTGCATGTTTGAAATTTTAATTAACTTTTTTTTTTTTTTTAATGTTTTGGAAAAAAAGCACCCTTTTGTTACATGTTCACACTTCAATGTCACACCATCAAAGTCAAAGATAAAAAAACAACATTTTATTGTATACTCCCTCTATAAAATATTTAAATATTATGTAATAATAAAATAAGTCAGATATGAAGGAAACAACACTCTTGTATACTCCCTCCTAAAAAATATTTAAATATATATGTAATAATAAAATAAAAACAAATCTTTATGAAAATAAATGAAGTAAAAAGTTTCATTTTTTGTGACTTGTGGAGTAGGGTGTGCGGACCAAAAATTGTTGGTGGATTAGGGATTCCTAACTCGGAGGTTGCAAATAAAGCTCGCATCTTGAGGTATATTTGGGACCTGCAATCTGATGATACAAACAGATTTTGGTTTAGGTGGTGTCAATCTCACCATATCAAAGATGGAAATATCTAGACTCTCAAGTTCCCACAACCTTGTTCTTGGAGTTGGAAGAAAATTTTCCAACTTAAGCACCCTGCTAGACTGTTTATCAAGCACATGATTAGCAATGGCACTCACACTTCCTTCTGGTGGGACAATTGGTGTGACGGCCCTGATTTTTTAAGCTAGTGCGTTGTGTAATGAACCATAGTTTGACCCGATAACAGATCCGAAATGCGGAAGCGAAAATAGAAAATAAATCTCTAGGGATATACAATATCCCTAGGATACCAAAGTGACCTTTCATAAGGCCACAGAACTCCACAAGAACCGACGCAGAAGAAAAGATCAGAAAAAGACCAAATAAGCCCCCAAGGGCAAAATAGTCTTTTATTTGGAAGCAACGTCTTTAGAAATGTACGTCATTCTCAAGACACATCCATGACTTCCTATGAAATCACAAAACTCATAAGAAAGCATAGCGGAAGCAATTACAAAAAAAAAAAAAAAAAAAAAAAAAAAAAAAAAAAAACCAGACAAGTTTAGCCCCAAGGGCAAAATAGAAATTTTTAGCAAGATCTGGGTGCAACCGAGCACACCATTGGAAAGACAACAAAAAATTAATCAAGTTAGACTTAAGAATCACTTGATTCTGAATCCGAATGGAAGAGAAAAGTCAAAACAAAGTTTTGACGTCGCCGAGCCCGTGAATAGTATTTTGACATAAATGAACAGTAACCTAGGCAAAATGCTGAAATTCGTGTGCCGTTTTGAGGTACTAAACGACATTTTCTGGAAAAACACAGAGAAGAAATTTTTAAGATAATTTTTCCAAGCTGACTATGTCAAAAGAAAATTTTATTTTTGAAGTGAAATTCCCAAAATGCCTTTACAACAGAATTTTTCAAATAGTGTAGGTGCACAGGAAAACAAATTTGACTTGGGGTTTTCGGGTCCGAGATGACATTTTCCTAGAAAAATGTTGTGAAGAAACCCACCCTAAAATCACGTTTTCTATGTGACCATGTCAAGACTAGAATTTATTCTTCAAAGAAAATTTCCGAAATACCCCTAGATCAATTTAGACCAAAAGAGTTAAAACCAAAAAGCTGTTACATAATTTTCTTTTGAAATCTGCCAGAACAGAGAGCAAAAATAGGGCCTTTAACAATATTTTCTGGAAAAACACGAAAAAGAAACCCTTCCCGAAATCAAATTTTCTATCCGGCTACGCGGGAGAAAATGAAAAAAAAAAATTCACTGTAAAATGCCCAAAATGCCCCTCCACGAAATCTGGTAGTGAGGGTGAAAAAGCTACTACATTGCAAAATTGAAAACTGAACTTTGCAAGGGATTTCCGGTACCAAGACGACATTTTCTGGAAAAACACGAAGAAGAAACCCCATTAAAATCATGTTTTCTAAGCGACCATATCGAAAGAAGAAAATAAAACTGATGTGACAAATCTAGAATGCCCCTTGATCAGATTATGCAACAAAATTTCACAATGAGTCCATAGGAGACTCATTTCACCAAAGAAGAAGGTTTGCTCGGAAATGACCATGCATGCAAATGTAACTTACATATTTGGACGCGCTACAATGGTCCATGGCTTAAAAATACCACCAATGCAAAATCCGACCCCCCAACGGCCAAAAAGGCAAAAATGCAAATGAAATGGTAAATTTGAAAACCAAAATTGACAAATGATTTCAAATTATCATTTGGCCCTTGGCCACACTTCAAACATGATTAATGAGACCCTATGAAAGAATAAAAATGGAATTCCCACACCCTATGCAACCATGGTAAGACAATGACTTGGCACTTTTCAATATTTTCATAATATTTCATGAAGTTAAAAGTTACATAAGATACAAATTAGATGTCATTGGCCTATGGCATCATCTCATACATTTCAAATACATTATAAAGAGTATACTTATGTACACATTACATAAATAGAATCAAATTAACACATTTTGACATATAAAGCTATAAATGGCATTTCAAGCCAACATTTACAAAAAATAAGAACTTCAAGTTTACAAATCATCCAAGCATGATGTGAATCCCGAATCTTGATCCCGGTACCTGAAAAATGTTCCCACTACGTGGGTGAGTAACATAAAGCTACTCGTAGGAGATGAGCATGCAAAGGCCTAACGTTTTACTAACCTATTAAGTTACTATAATTTAACTCAAATGGTCATGCCACCTAGCGTCTACGTCAAAAGTGAGACTCAGGGATCATCCTAAGCTACCTAGAGTATTCCTAGCATAAACCACATCATTTATGCAATTTAAACAACATAGGAGCATGCGGTACACGCAACAAGTCATTCAATATATAAGTATACGTATGCAAGTTTACAATCAAGATTGAAATGCACTTAAGACAAGTATAGAAGTTATAAGTATACTAGGTTATCTAAAAAGTAAATCATCAATATACAAGGGTACACACTAAGTACACTAAGCAATATTAAAATAGAAATGTAACATATAAATTCAAGTATACATTTTTAAGTATACTAACCAATGTTGACATGTATGGCATACAAGTATACAAATCCAAGTATACTAAACAAGAAATAAAGTACCATGCATCCAAGCACAAGTTAAAAGTAATCCACAATTACAAATAGGAATTGAATGCGAAATCAACCAATGGCGGAAAGACAAAGGACATATGGTCTCAATGACTAAACAAGTGGTTCCGGGTTACTAGCCCGCAAGGTACTACCTAGTGCACAACTAAACCCAGAATAAAACTGTTATATTGGTGATTTTGGGTTACTAGCCCTCAGGGTACCTCCCGGTGCGCACTATATGAAATAGAGGGAACTCTCATCCCCCGTACTAGAGCCATGCCCTAGCCATAACAATTTTAAATGTCCATACAAGCTTTCCAAAAAAAATCATCAAGTTGTGCAACAAGTATATCACATATACACAATGCACCAAAACTAATTACCACGCACAACCAAGTCATGGAATACACACAAGCCATGCTCTAGGCATTCAAGTTACAAATGGCATATTAAATGTCATATATGAAAATGTAAATACTTACAAGTTAAATCATAACTTTAATTCATGGAATACTATCATGTAATCAAATAACAAGTTCCAAACTACAACTTAAGCAAGTATACAACATCAATGCCTAATTATCTCAATGGAAGCATAAAAGGGGATTTAATTATCTTAAGTAATTAAATTCTCAAGATTACAAAACAACTCCAAATGTTCTACGATTCAAATATGTCAAAGGTCATATCAAGGCCTATTTCAATTTCTTGATACAAGTTAATTCTACACTAGGCATCACTAGGTGAATTAAATTCCATACAAGGAAAATAATTAAACAAAGTATTCAAGGCTCATTAAAATATTCTCAATTCTAGGTATGTTAATGAACATATCAAGGCCTACTTTAAAACCACATTACAAGTTAATTTTACACTAATTACAACTAGGTAAATTAAACTCAATGCTAATAAAATAAATAAATAAAATTCTCTAAACTTATCCAAATATTCTCAATTTAGTATATAGATAGAACATACCAAGCTCATCAACAATATCAAGTTAAAAATCCATTCAAGTGACTAAAGCACTTAAAATAAAAATTAATTAATCTAATTAATTAATTTTCTCTAAATTTTAAAACAATTTCAATTGCTCTCAAATTAACATAGGTTAATGTACATACCAAGGCCTATTTTAATATCACATTACAAGTTGATTTCATGCTAGTTACAACCATGTGAATTAAACTTTCATACAAGTGAAAGATTAAATAAAAATTTCAAGACTTATTCAAATACTCCGAACTTAATAAATGTTAACAAACATATCAAAGCCTAATTTAATTGCATGCCACAATTTAATTCTAAGGTATATACAACCATGAGAATTAAATCTTATACAAAGAAAATAATTAAATTAAATTCTAGATAAAATACCTAGGCATACATTCAATACAACTTTGAACATCCCTTACCTCATTTTATGATGAAATCACAAATCCCCACCGAAACGAAAACGTTCCAAATCTGACGATACATCGGAGCTTTGTCGGGGACAACGCCGTGAACATTAAACTCCAAAGAGGACCTACCAAAATCCTAACTTGACCTCAAACCCGAATTCAAAAAATGGTCGGAATCGGCTTCTAATAATGGGGAAAGGTGCGCGTCGTCAAGGCCTTTGATAAACGCTAAGGCACTACGACATTTTACACAAGGGAAGAAGGTGGAAAATAAGAAAAGAAGGTGGCAGCCATGGAAGGGCCGGGAGCAGATCCAGAACGTGTGGAGAAGAAGAGGAAATTTCTGTTTTAATTTTTCAAACCCCCTATTTATAGAAAACCTCAAAATGCCCCAAACGGGTCCTGCCTGGTCCGGAAAAGTGGAATTTGAGCAGACGTGCTCAAACGGCAAAACACCGTGAACGAAAAAGGACCAAAATGAAAAAATATGAACAACAGAAGAAATGGCGTAAAAAACCAAGTCCCGAACAGAGAGATATGCCCCAAACAAGTTTGGCGCTAACCGAGGCCAAAAACCCTAAAACTGTAGGGTTCGACCGCAAGACAATTCTAAGAGTACATGACTCGACAAAAATGTGAAAATGAATCCCGTACGAGGATTCAGGCTCAAAACGAGGTATTTTGTATAACTTTCGTTAATTGCAAAATGGACCCTACAAAAAGGGATAACTACAAAACTGCCCAAAATGAAAATATCTTCCAAAAGATATTTTCTTAAAAACCTCCGAAATAAAATATCTCCAAAAGATATTTATGAAAAACACCCCAAGAAACAAAAATGGTTCTGAAGAACTTTGCATCCATGCCCCTATGGACACCAGGAGCAACCAGAGTACTTTCCTACAAAAGTAAAGATACGTATTTCGTGGAAACCACTTAGGATGAAGGTTCATGAAGTCAAAACTCAACTTTGAACGCGAAAAGTGAGGTTATGCCAACAAAGTGACAAATGGGGAAAAGGAAGAAAAGTGCATAGTGTCGAAAAACGAAAAAAATGTGGAAATGACGCGGTCCTTTAAGGAAGTTGTCATTCAAGGGAAAGAGTCTCGGAAACTATTTCCGAAGACTCGAAACGACACTAAGTGATGAGTAACCGTACTCAGAAAGGAAAAATCAATAAAATAAAATAAAAATTATTCGTAAAAATAATAAAAATGAAAGGAAAGAAAATGACCGGGTCATTACAATTGGCACCAAGAGGGCCTCTTAGCTCAAGATTTCCTCACAACCTTCTAATTGATGTTGGGTTTAATGATGAGACCACAGTGACTTCCTTCTAATTGATCTTACAGGGGAATTCTCATTAGTTCATTGGCATAATCTAATATGGGACTCTCCAATCATTCCAAGAATGAAATGCAATCTATGGATGGCAGTTCAGTCAAGATTGCCTACCATTGACAGCAAAGCAATGGCCAGACATCAAAACATTTGTGCTCTATGCCACAGCTCAACTGAATCACATAACCACCTGTTTTTCAACTGCTCCTTCGTCTCACCAATTTGGAGATTTATCAAATAAAAATGCCAAATGTAAATCTCAATTGCAAATTAAGATGCTCTAGTTCAACATATCAGCAATAATTGGAAAGCCAACACACCTTCAAACATGCTTCGAAAATTGGCTCTCTTCTCAGTTGTGTATCATACCTAGGAAGAAAGAAATGCTCGGATTTACAAAGGAGAGAAGGCCTCATAGCGAGTCGTCTGCACCAAGATCTGTTCTACCATCTCTACTATTCTCAACCTGAGGGTTCTAAGAAATTGTTCAGCAACTTCAAAGATCCTTAAGGATTGGAATCTCTCCCCAACTTGCTGTCATCCTACGCTCCGGCCACCGTTGCGATCGTCGGATTAAGTTGCTCTGCACTTACATAAGTGCAGCATCGGCCTTCATCATCGGATCGTTACAACCATTAACGGTTACTACGCTGCTAATGGTTGTTTATCTTTCAAAATTGGGTTTCTTATGTGTTGGGCTTGTCCCTTGTTTGCCTTTGGGCCTGTTTTGTCTTTACACTTGTTCTAGCCTAAGGCCCATTATTGTAATCACATTTTAATTTTTTACAGTTGCCTAAATTTACTAAAAAGATATCGCTAAGTCAATAGCCATAGATAAATATGAGGTTTTTATTGTTACAGTCAAATTTTAAACTAAACTTTTCAGCACTGGGACTACCAAGTCTCAGTCAAAACACCACAACGTGCACATAAATGGAACAAGAGAGAATATATTTACAGGGCTGAAATCCCAATCTCTGATCTTATTCAGCACAAAAATACAAAGGACACAATTTCGTACAAGGGCCAAGCACTCATTACATGCACAAAGCACACTTTTCTACGTTGCCTTACATTCCTTTCCATCCAGAGAAAATAGAAGTTCTCCTTTTTAGATTCCAGCTACAACAACAAAAAATGTGTCAGTAGTCTCTTCACTCTTCATTTCAAAACTTTGTTTCCAATTTTTCTTTTGGTATGCAAAGCATGGTGGGGTTTTGACCCAGGGCCTATTTCCTTTGACATCAAGTTTGGCCTCGGAACTTTTCTTGTGGTTGTTTTAGTCATGTTCGGACAAATGGTAACGAAGTTGCCCATGCTCTAAATCAAACTTTCCAAGGATCATATTTCTCAAGATGTAGACCTTGTACATATTTGTGATAATAATATTCTGGCTTTGGCCGTTCATGATTGTACTCCTTGAAGTTTCGTGATTGTTCTATTGCTAGGTTATTAAAAATAATAATTAAAAACGAATAAAGTAAAAAAAATTAATATTTTTAATACTTCAACTAGGGGACATTTTGAGAACCCTCTCATGATTCACATATAAGATATACATAAGCCACTTTTCTTTAACCTGAGTATCTAAAATTCTAAACACAGCCGAAAGTCAGAGAACTTTGGTCTGTACATGAACCAAATAATTAAAAAGAATAATAATAATTAATTATGTAAAATTAATTGCCTCCTTTTATCTTTAAGAATCCTTGCAATCTGTGCACGTGTTTTAGAATATGATTAGGTAAAATTATGCTTATGAGCTGCATCAATCTTATATTTTTCAATGGTTTCATGTTCGTAAGTCATCTGACAACTCTCATTCAGAAGAAAAAGTGTACTGAAAATCAGTTTCATACATTTATACATGCATGTGAGTGTGTGTGTGTTGTGTGCGCGCGCGCACAATAGCATTTTAACCATGTATGCGAACTTTTTTGTTAGGTGATGAAAAAGTTGGAATGGTATTAATTAATTTAATTGACAAAATATATGTCAATGAGCAGTGCACCAAAATAATCTCTCATTACATGGAAAAATTGCCCATTATATGAAATTGGAATTGGGAGGCTTTGGTCCAAAACTGTTTATGCATGAAGCAAAATCCATTGTCATTCAAAATTATATATCATTTTTTTATACATCCATTCCTGTCATGAACTGAAAATTAAACAAAGAAAAAGAATGAGAGGTGAGTCCGAAAGCAAGTATAAACAAACACTCACTTCATATACTTACAGATAGATACATGTATACAACTAGGGCCCCTTTTAAATAATAAACCAACCCAAACACCCCCCCCCCCCCCCCCCACAACACATGATGAAATGATGCATAGATGAGAGAAAAAAAAAAGGGAGTTACCTACCCCCCTCTTCCTCCCCCTCCCTCTCACAAGAAATAAAATAAAATAAAAAATTGAGAATGAAGAAAAAAAAAAAAAAAAAAAAAAAGGTAACCTAGTCCTAACTGTCTAACATAAACTAGTGATATGTACCTGGCACTGGAATCATTGTTGGATCACTCCAGCTTTGCAAGCCAGGCCATCTTCCTCACAACATACAAAATGACAGAGTGGCTTCACTCACACTAGACTACACACACATTCATTCCATCATCCTCCTTTCCCTCAAAAGGTAGAGATGGGACACAACCCACAAAAATTTGGGCTTACTTGGACACAAAAACCTGAAAAACAAAGAAGAAAAACCAAAAGGTAGGCACTGGGCAGACTATGGCTTCAGTTCCAAGTCCACCAACATCACCAAATATCAAGACCCTCCCTCACCATCAAGGGACTTCCTGCCTAAGTTTGTATAAGATGCAGAATTCTATCGGCTTGTCGAATTGATTCGGTGCAGTTTTTGTTGCTCTCCTCTCTCATGTCCAATGCAGTTAGTCTACTTGATGATCAAGAACACAACCTGCATTTTGTAAGGACATTGAAACAAATCAACAAAATGCATTGACAATTTAAACATTACAACTATATAGGTATTAAACATGTGATCATACCTATTATGTTCTTGGGCATGACAATTGCGCGCATTTCATACTAGAGCACCATCACCCAAATTCCTTACTCGGAGATCCACGTTCTTCAAATCGCGAAGATGTTGTAGAATCTCTTGGAGAAGGTCCATCCCCTTGTCCCCTTTCTTTAAGGAGCCAATGCAGTGCTTTAGGAACTCTCTGTCTGCTTCAAGAGCCTGTAACCTCTCGTAGAGATGATCCACCTCCACTTCAATTCCATGCTTCTTGTTGTCTAACTTGATCTTTTTATCATCAGCGTAATGCATCACATCAGAAACTAACCAGTGCTCATTTCCATTCGACACCCCATTTTCATTTTCTGTACTAATTGCATCGAAAAGAGGAAGAAGTCTCTTTGCCTTTGCTCCCATTATATTTTTCTCTAGATGATGTTTCCCATTCATTTCGTGAGAGAAACCATTTTCAACCCCATTTACTTCACCATCAAAATCAGAATTCTCATCTAGATGTTCGCCATTCTCTTTATAGAAATAGTCAAACGGCTTTATGTCCTCAAAATGTTGTCCCTCTTCATCAGCCAGTGTAAATAGCTTCTCTTCTAGAACCTTAAGCTGCTCTAGAATCGATAACCTCTCTTCCTCAAAGTTGGCCAAAGATTCATCCAAGTCTAGAACTTCATCAACTGGGGTGTTGTGGTGTCCATTTTCACGATGACCATAGAAGCTGTCTTCTTCTTTTGCTTCTTGATTGAGATCGGTGGACAGTCCATCACTATCCTCAGAATTGCTACACGAAGTAGAGGGCGTTCCACTTCTACCACTACTATTCTTACTTCTTCTCAACATCCTCATCATATTCTCCTTCGCCTCATAATCCAAGACCTTCTTCCGATAGATTTCCAACTCTTTCTCTAGCTCTTGCTTTTCCTTCTCCCTCTTTACCATAAGCTCATTCAATAGCTGCAACGCTTCTTGATCATACTCGGATTGTTCTTCCATCATTCTCTGGTACTGCAAAGCTTCCATCTGCATTGCAGCTTTCTCTTCTTGAAGCCTAGTTATCATTGCCATCGTCTGGTTTGCAGCCACTGCAGAAGCACTTCTTTCTTCTTCTAGTTCCGCGTACAAAGCATGTAAAGCCTTCCGTTCAGCTTTTAGCGCTGATTTCAAGCGTTCATTGGTAATAACTCCCTCACCACCTTCGAACTCACTTATGACACTACCATCGAGGGATTCTTCAGTACCGGACTCCCTCTTCTCAAGTAACAACAATTTCTTGTGCAAGTAATGTGGACTTTCCATAGAAGTGGGGGTATCGGGAACTTTCTCTTCCTCAGTCTCATTAAGCTCTGAACACAAAGACAAATCATTGCAATTCTCTTTCTTATTCATCTCAATGGACATGGCTTTACATTCAGTTGGTTCTTCCTCAGTCTCATTAAGGTCTGAACACAAAGACAAATCATTGATATTCTCTTTCTTACTCATCTCAATAGACATGGCTTTACATTCAACTGGTTCTTCCTCAGTCTCATTAAGCACTGAACACAAAAACAAATCATTTCTATTCTCTTTCTTACTAATCTCAATGGCTTTGCATTCAACTGTTTCTTCCTCAGTTTCCTTAGAACCTAATACAGAAATTTCACTAGAATCAACATACTTAAGGAAACTAAACTGAACTTGTGAAATGCGAAAAGATACGAGTTCGAGCCTTACCATGATCTTCTTGGAAATAAGCAGAGCTAGTAGAAGGATCATCATGTATGCATTGACAAGAGGAGTGAATAACTTGAGTTTGAATCTCATCTGTTTGATCCAAATCTGGAATCTCTGTCCCTATAGAGACCTCTACTTCAGTTTCACTAATTGGCAATTGACATACTACTTCTTCTGAGACTACATATATCAGAAAACAAAATACTTAAAATTTTCATATAAAATCAACATATACAATAATTGACAGATAATTCAAAACTTCTAGGGTCTTTTGAGTACCTTGAAAATGATCTTCTGAATCCCTTTCCTTTGCTTCTGCTGCCACAGTTGCTTGAACCTCATCAACATCCTCAGATGGGGTTTGGGTTGCTTGAGTTATAGCAACTTGTTCATGTACATTCCTCACTAGGCCACATTCTCTTGCATGAAATATAAAAGAATTCTCATTCTCTTCTATCTCCATGGATTCTAGGGCTGCGAATTCCGGCTCCTTTCTGCCCTCCCGGGCACTAACTTCTGCTTCTCTCACCCCCAAACTACGCCTACTCTCCAAAACCGGCTCAATTCGCGCCCCAGCGTGTGATTCAAAACCCCAATTGAGTTCAAAATCATCAAAATTGTCATGATCTCCCTCCTCCTTAACTCTGTATGAACTCTGATTTTCCTCGGTCGTCGAATCGAATAATTCAATTGGAATCAATCCATAACCATCTTGACCAACAAAGAACTCCAGATGTTGAGTAAGGATTTCATTTGATTCATCTTTTTTCGAACAACAAACTTGGATCATGGTTTCATCAGAGGATGGATCTTCAATAATCATATCTGAATTGGGTTTTTTCTCTTCTCCCAAAACCACACCAAATTTATCATCTTCTATGATCATATCTTCATCACCTCCCAATTCTTTCAATCCAGAGTTAGACACAAAAACAGACCAATCCTCCTCTGCCTCCATTTCTTTAACACCAAAACCACCATTGACCCCAGAAACCCTCATCTGATCATCACTCTTGTTTTCAATCTCACATCCATTCACCACACAATCTGATCTATTTCGATCCCAATTATTGCTTTCTTCGATATGGTGATGATGATCGCCATCATCATCTTCATCATCCCCTGCTTCTGCAGTCAAATTCCCTTTCTGGGTATAATCCAAAACACCCCAAGAAGGCTTGATCACAATACAAGGAGGGTAAAATTTTCTCTCCAACCAAACACCACAGCAAGAACACTTCAAACCCGCCTCACCCCCATTCTCAACCACCTTCTCTCCTTCTCTCTGAACCACTCCAATCTGCTTCACCAATGGAAAGAAAGCATAATTCCCCGATGACTCGTCACGGAACTCCGGCCGCGAAGACGAGCAGTCCTCACACATTTCCTGCAATTCAGCCAGTTTCCGATGATTTGAGCAGTAACCCAATTTGGAAATCTCTGCGGCGTGGACTTCACAGAGACGATCCCGGTGTGAATTCTTGCTTTTCGTGGGCTCGAAGATGTGATCGACTTTAGAACACCATAGACAGGGTGTTTTGAGGCCAAAATAGTCTGCAAATTTTATGATCAGATAAGAAAAGAGAGAATTGAGGAGGAGGAGGATGATCAGAATCCATTCCAGGATTGCATATATGAGAATGAGAGTGATTTTGTTCGTGTTTCTATGCAACATGGTTGCAAATTTGTTGGCAGCCATTGTTGATGCTCTGTTTTTAATATACACAGTTAGAGAGAGAGAGGCAGCAGATGCAAATTTGGCTTTATGTGTGTGTGTGTGTGCGCGCGCGCGTGTGAGTGAGAGAGAGAGAATGGAGAACTGGTTTTATGTGAGAGAGAGAGTAGATGAAGAGATTCAGTTTTGGACTGAGAAGGGCGGTTTGAAAGGAGAGACAGCCAAAGAAGACTTGGAACTATAGGAAAAGAATGAAGTGAGAGAGTCACAAGCATTTGATTTGATTTTCTTGGATTTTGAGAAGTTCTTAGCAACCAATATTTTTTTTTTAATAATCATCAACTAATACAGTATTATACTGTTATTTGTTTATTTAATCCCCATTAAATCTTTATAAATGGTGGATAAATGGCATGTTCTTTGATTAAAATATAAATGGGAGACCTAATTAGGTGGATAGGGTTAGCTTTGGATCCAAACACCATTCCTGACTACACCCTGTTTTTCTTCTTGGGCATCAAATTAGTGGGCCCAATGACCATACAAATAAGTTGGTGGACCACACCAAAGTAAGGTGTGGGGGCCATAAAGGATGCTAATGCTGGATCTCATCATGTATGTCCCTTTTTACATTTCTTTGGTCAGTATGAAAGAATAGTATTTTATATAGAGATATATTGTATTTTAATTATATATGAAATTAACATATGCAATACTCTTTCTTTTCATAGAATTTTTCTTTTCTTTTCTTTTTATAACAGATTCAATATTCTTACCAAACCGATTGTATCTATCGATACTTTCTTATTTTCGATAGTACAAATTAGGGGTTTCGATAAAAATAATCAAGTAAAAATAGATGGTTCAATATTGCATATGTGGGAGTAATTTGTCAGGAAAATAAAAACATATATATATAAAAAATGGACAAGACTTGTATGCTCACAGAAGATCATTTCGTGATACTAACAGCTGATGTGATCCAATTACATATGAACACATGGTCTCCAATTACAAACTTATAAAAGTGATAAATAAAAAAATTAGAGAGGGTGAATGAATTTTTTTTTTTTTTTTAAATTATTATCCTTATTTATACCACATAGAGATGGCTTGCTCACCTATTAATATTCAAGTATTGTCTTGTATATAATGCATAGTAATCGTTGGACGTAAAAAAAGTAATTCCCAAATAATCATAGCAATTATGGACACAGAAAGAGCCAAGATTTCAAGTTAGAAAAAAAAAATTATTCAAATAGACACGATAAAAAGAAGAAGATTTTCAGGAAATAAAAAATGAAAAAGACAAAAAAATTAGAGAACTTTGAAAGGGAAAAGTTAAAGTTCGATTGAGGAAGTAAATTTTGACTTTTTCTTTTAAAGAAATTAAAAGAATTTGAAGAGTAAAAGAGAAAATAAGAAATAATAATTTTAGAAACTAAAAAAATTTAGTGGGGCACTGTATAAATTTTTCATATATATGGAAAAAAATTAAAAAATTACCCTATTTCTGTGAATAAATTTCTTACTATGAACAATAAACTATTTCTGTATATGTGTGTGTGTATATATATATATATTTGGTAGGTAAGTAACACACATGCTACCCTATTTCATGTGAAACTCAAATTTGGACTAGTAGTAGGCTAGTAGCTTAACCCTCTCTTAAAATAGGGCTTTGATTATGTAGACTTGAAAATCTAAGTTAATGACCTCACTTATTTTGGAAGTATTATCAAGTACCATTTTGAACTATAAGTTAATTCTATACCATATATTTAAATGATATAGAGAGAGAGAGAGGGGTTAAAAGTAAAAACTTTATCCAATTTTAAAGTCGGTTCATTAATATTTGATGCCATGGAGGAAGACTTTCCCTTCATCCCTATTCACTAGCCTTCAATGTCCTTTATGACGCAGGAAATGTAGCCTTTAAAAATACAGTGCCTAGGACTCTTTTTTTCGATTTGGAAACATTCATAAAAGCCTATGCATCCCATGCTCCTATGAGCATCCCAAACTTAACCGAAGAGAAAAAAGAAAATAAAAGATAGAATTAGTTGGGTAAGAAATAAATGAAAATATAAAAATAATTATAGATATATATATAATTATTTGCCGTAACAATATAGGTAGCGATTGTGGTGTAACGGACTCTTGCCAATATCTGTGTAAACCGTTTGAACCGGTCAATTTATAAAAGTATGTAACAGAATCGATCCCTTAAAAAAAGATTATCAACCAATCGATACGTCGCATATCAATCAATACTGCGAACCATGATATATATATACATATATATACAGTAGTGTTCAATTGCTCCATAAGCATAGAGTAGTATACTCACTTTTAATCATAATTGTAGAATCTAATTCAATGGACATTATTTAATTAGCTTTCTTATAATTATTTTTAAAAATTTACTTAATTTTTTATTACCATTCGATACTATTAAAATGAAATGACAAAAGTAGACATTTAACAAAAATTTAACAATATACTTTCCTAAAAATAATAATTAACAATTTCGTTACTCCCCAATAGGCTATTGATTCCTGATAGTCCATGATTGTTGCGAAGATGAGATGGAGAGATGGGCAATCAGAAAAAGCTAAGACCTGCAATTGGAAGATGCAATAGGCTATTGATTGTTGAAACTACAATAAAAAAGCTACACTTTCAAACCAATTAATTTGCTTAAGACCTGCAATTGGAAGATGCAATAGGCTATTGATTGTTGAAACTACAATAAAAAAGCTACACTTTCAAACCAATTAATTTGCTTGGAGTTTTACGAGTAACAAAATTGATTTAGAGTATACTGATTTATAAATAATACTTTACTAAACTAATCTGGTTAAAGTGTAAAGGATTTGGTTTATTCGGATGTTATGCTTAAGATTAAAAATCACTTTTATTATATTTGCAATGAAAAGAAAATAGGAGAAAAAGAAATGATAGTATGATACAAATAACCTTTTATCTTAGGAAGCACCTATACTTCTTTTAAGGTGCTGCGGTAGTATCGCATATTCAGACATTTTTCGGATACTGGGATACTGCTCGAACACGTGTCAGATACGGTTACAAGTATTTTGAATGGTGAATATATATTTTGTTTTTTATCAGACGTGGCTGGGATACGGCATGGACACAGCAAGAATACTATTTGGACACTTTCAGATATATATGACAGGGTGATTTTGTAATTATTATTATTATTATTATCATTTTTAAAAAAATAGAATATATTGTGGGTGAATTAGAAAAATAATATAAAATTTACAATAACAAAAATAACAAACATTCATTTAGCTCTAGATTCCAAATTATTGATTTATTTATGATTATATGAAAAAATGACAAAAAAATATATTATTTATATATATAATAATATATTATATCATTATTTTTTTGACGTATACATGCCGTATTCGTATCTTATTTTTTAAAATTTATCTTATCGTCGTATACATATCGTGTCGTACCCATATGAGCATCCGTAATTGTGCTTCGTAACTTTCAACCTATTTGGAAAAGATAAGGGAATAAAGGATTGTTTAATTTTTAAAATGAAAAGGAATATATTCATTTGTAAAAGCATGTAAACACAAAGTAGTATTTTTACAAGGATTTAAGCTATCATTTTTATTATTATTTTTAAATGGTAAGCAAACAACACTTTATATTTTGTCCTCACATAAGCTTGAACACTCAACCTCCTTTAGAAAAAAAATCCAGAGCTTATCCCTCCCATTATCATTTTCTTTACTTTAGTTCCTTCTATCCAAACCAATTATGTCATAAATAAGCTATATCTTCAATTGATATATATATTCTAATATATCAATACGGTAATTTTCTTTTTTGTCTTTTGATATCTCAAAATGAGGTTAAGTTTTGACAAAATTTTAAGATTGTTTCACTGTGAAATGAAGGTTATGAATTCAAAACAAAGAAGCAGTCTCTCCTCTTCACATGCAGAAGTAAGTCGACAGAATTTGCAAATTGCACTTTTGATATATCAAAATAGCTAACAATAATACTAAATAATACTGTTTCAAGCACTACTTGTAAACTATAATAATTCGTGTTAAGCCATTAATCTAAAATTTACATGAATCCCATACTTTAGAACTTTATGATTTTCACATATCTATAATGCATAAATAAATGGTTAAATATAAATACCTCAATTCATGATATCAAACCTTATTAAGATTAAATCCAACGTCTAGATCATTTAACCACGAACTAATCTGCAATTCTGATCAACAGGCAAAGGTGAAAACTGGTTTCTCTCTTTTGGCCTTTTGCACACATAAAACTTTTACGTATTGTATTTTAATCGTACATAATTGATGGAGTATATGTACTCTTATAAAGGCAAAGAGAGGACCAGTTTTCTTTTTAATAACATAATTCTACTTTCCATCAAAGTAAGGAATAAGAAAGGAAAACACTTCTCCAATAAGTAATTACCAAAAAGGTAATTATAAGTTGACCAAAAATAAATAATATTAATTGATATCTATTTTCTTAGCCACCAAGAAATATGTCACATGTCCAAATCATGTGGGTCACAATTAAATAAATAATCTTACATTCTCCCACTTGACACATATGATAATTTCTGTAGTGGTTTAGTAAAATAGTCATTAGTGTGCACCATAAATCAGATTAAGGTATTAAGTTGGTCATCATAAATAACATGGTAAACAAACTACCAATGTGAGTCATGGCGGTTGTATGTCCCTAAATGACACAGTCCCTTCCATGTACCACAACACTAGTAACCTAACATAGTTTATAAATGAGAAGTATCAATAATGATCTAACAATAATGTATTTTTCAAGACTATTCTTATTACCACTTATTAAAGCAATACGTACATGTACATTAATTAATAGGAAATATCAGAAACACATTTAATGAGCGCAAAATGTCAAATATATATAAGCACTATTAAGCAATCCACAATTAAAAAATAATCATCAGTGACTACATTCAAGACCCATTCTTTTAACATGTTCCATAAATATCTTAGGTGGTAGTCCATTCGTTAATGGATTGCAATCATAAGTTGTGTGCTTATATATTCAATAGACATTCGTTATTTCTAAACATCTTTTTTAATGGTAAAGTATTTCAATTTTAGAATACCTATCATTTTTCATTCAAAAAGATCAACAATTGCAGCATAAATTTTCAGCAATTTGAAAAAATGGTACCTATAACTCCAAATCCTAAAATAAATTCAGCAATAATAAATTGTAACCTCAA